GAACTTTGTAAGCTGAGGCGCTGCTACACCGCCCGCCCAGTGGAGCTGGCCATCTCCAGCCATGAGGGCTCAGGCAACGAGAACTTCCTGCAGTTCCTCCATAGGACCAGCTGCACAGCAGAGACACGTTCCAGCTTTGCTACTTCCAGTCCAAGAAGCACTCTGGATCATGGGCAGACCGGTTTTAGGATACCAGGGCAAATCCCAGAAGAGTTCAGTTAGATATACCTCGCTGTTGTACCACAGCGTTAGTAGCCAGTAAGGCCACTTCATACAGTGTGTAATACTGTGTGTACTGTATCTGTAAAGTGTATATGAATACAGTAACAGATAAGTTACAGCATCAAAAAATGAACTGTTTATGAAACTTGACATACTGTTTATAGAAACTATTCATACAAATGGACATTACTTCTCAAAGTATCTTTACTTTACTTGTGGTAAAACTATTATCGATACAGCTATTAATCTGATAAGGAACCCTGTGTTTTTACTAGCTACTAGAGAAAAGTCACTTTTTATTTTTCAATCATTGCATCTATGTAATTAAAGTAATGAGCACAAATATCCGGATTACTTGAATGTTGAGTGAGCAGTGATTCTTATTTTTTCATAGGGTCTCCATATGACAGCAGTTTTTATTTTTTAATTTAGTAATTCAGTGCTGTACGTGGTATTTATGTTGCAGGAATTTGTGTAAACTTTATTTATTGTACTCAAAGAAGAAACACAGAGATTTCTGTTTAAAAATGCATTGTTTCTTATTGCTATAATTCTGCGAATAAACAGTGGTTACTTTCATCCTTTATGTAAGTAAGAAACCAAATATTCATAATATGCATTATTAGCAAACATTATGTTTTTCTTCTTACCACATTAGTCTGTACTAAATAGATTAATAATGGGCAAGAATCACATATGTCTGGCCAGCCATTCTTGTCAATAGGTTGTTTTTTTTTTAAATCAAATAATGTATTTTTTGACAGCAGAGAAAAATTAATTTACTGGGTTTATTTATTATTGTATTAATATCTAACAGTAGAGGGGCAGTCTGGTGATTAAACTGTCCTGGAGATCAACAGCCAAGTAAACAAGTAAAACTCTACTCTCTTTCTGATCTAAAAAAGCACTATCAGGAGTCTTCTGCAGTCACACATGTGCACCTTTCCTGTGTATTTTTGACATTGACAGCTTTGACATCTGTGTGGTTTGTGACGCGTGTCCATTTATGAAAAGCTTGTTACTAAGACTTAACGCAGTAAACAGATGATTATATAAATAGAAAATGCTGTTTCATAACAGCTGTTGTGGCTGTCTCTAATACCCTCTAAATATATGTTCACTGGCAGATAAACATTATTTATGTTCCCATACACTTAATTATGAATATGACCTACTTCTCAAATAGAGTACAATGATGGTATATCCAATATGCTATAAGGATAAACATTGATGGAGTTCACTGACCAATCAAGAAAGGCAGATTTTACAATGTTAATATATCCTTGATTTATATTTGGTGCAGCTCTCCAAATAAGATTAGATTTAAGGGATTACGTTGGATAACACACTGATTAATGGGGACGAATAAAAACAAGCATGCTGAGCTGTCAAAAACCCAAACACCATTCTATATAAATATAAATCAGCAAAAAAAGTAGATTGAATGGAAAAAATGTGTTAAAATAACTCAGGCAGTGAAGAAATAAATAACATTGAGAGGAGTGAGATAAGCCTGTGTACTGACAGGCAGGAAATAAGGTAGACTGGATATGTTAAGTCAAGATAACACGGTGTCATTTTATGTTTTCTGGCTGGCAACACATTCACACAAGTGTTGCAGTTTATTGCATAACATAGTTCATAACAAGTACAGAGCAACGACCTGCAAATATGATAGTATACTGACTTACATATACAAATGCATACATTACATCATTGTTAGAAGATGTTGTTGGGATGGAAAGTAAATACAAATCTCGCTCAGTATTTTTTTTAAAGTGAAAAGTTCCATCAGAATGAAAAGATAGTAAATATGTCTGGCTGATGTTTTGTGTAATTCTTCAAAAGGCATCGATAATATTTTCATTTGATGGTGTAGCTTTGTCTTTCAGTGCTTCACTCAGCGTGAACATCATATAGCTTAATTTTCCTACATTAAAATCTTTAAAGGGGTTATTCCAGGTGTTTCAACTGTTGTAAAAAAACTAATTGTATATGGTTTTGGCCCTTTTTCTTCTTAAAACATTTAAAGGTGGACACTTTATTAACCAATCTTTTGAAAATGATACTTTACGTAATTAAGTTACACTTTACTACGTGTAATACAAGATGTGATAAAGATAATAAATAAATTTCAAAGGACCTGTTTCATCACCCAGCTTCCAAACTGAATTAACATTTGAGCCTAAGCAGTGTTTATAAGTTGCTAATTAAAGTGGAGGACCTTCCATCTCAGAGGCAGCTAATGTTTAATCAAAAACAATCACATCACTGTACTTCTGCAAAGCATATTCATTGTAGATCAAACACGAGCCCACTGGCTTGAGCCTGGCCAAGTGGGGTCTGTTGTTCAGATGTGTTCAGATGGTAAATCTGAAAAGACTTGATGTTTTTCTGTTTCCTGAAGATTGTGCTGTCTGTTTGATAGTGATAATGAAAGAACCACCCCTGAAGAATCAAAGGGAGGAAGTGTGATTGATGGTGCTGCCGGAGAGAGTGAACCACATTATTTCACCAGACTTTCCCTTTAACAACAACTGCATGACTTCTCTCAGACCTGTGCACATATAACAGGAAAGCTGCCGTCTACACAGAGCTTCATGCTGCACAACATGCTCAGGTCCCACAAACTAACAAGACACACAGGCATATCATAGGCCCTTTGCAAAACACTCCATAAAAGAATAGGTTAATAGACATTTTGAAAATAGGTTTCTTTGCTTACAAATCATGCAATTGTTTTTGTATTTCTTTATAATAATAATACATTGGATTTACATAGCGCCTTTCAAGAAACCCAAGGACGCTTTATAATAGGATGAGGGGCCGTGGGGGGGGACAAAAAGGAAAACAAATAAGAAGATCAAAACTGAAATTAACAAAGGCTGGTCAAAAAAATGTAGAGGAGAGAGATAACTGAGGCTGAAAGCCTTGACAAACAGATGTGTTTTGAGTGCTTCTTTGAATCAACAGTCAGCAGTATTGCAAGACAAGATACACATACATTTCCATGCAAAAGTGTTTGTTTGTATCTCAACAAATTGGATTGTAATATTTGTTAAAAGAAGTATTTCTATTCAAAATGGAGCCTGAGATGCTGAAATCTATTCATTGTCGCAGGAATTCCTGTCCAATAACTTGTCTTCTATACCTCTCCAACATCATGTACCGTATCAGAGTAATCATGATAACCACTCTCTCTTACACACACACACACACTCACACTCTCCGCTGACCTCACCTGTTCAGCCTCGGTCACAAACAAAGCCCATCTGGCGAGGTGTGCAGTCCATTAGCATACCACAGTCTCCGGCACAGACACAGGGAACTCTCTGTCATCCATACGCTGTGTTCCAACCCGTCTTCATCCAGCAGGCAGAAATTGTTATTACCATGGAAACCATGGTCAATCATCGTGGAGTAACTCACTCACAACAGGTGTTCAGGTGTTCTTGGTAATGTACTATGTGCAGTATTTGTTCAACCTTTACGATTGAAAGACATTTCCATTTTGTTTGCTTCCCTTAGTAATGCATAGGTCAAACACTTGGATGCATGACTCTTAAGATCAACAGCGCCATCATTTAATCAACATACTTGACGTACACAGATGGATAGCAGGTACTTTTTATATCTGCATTGTTGTATTAGATTCTCACTTTACCAGCTGTTATGATCTTAGGTCAATATGTGGCAGTGTAGATGATGATGTGAGCAGTTTCATCTTGTGAAGAAGGTCCGGTAGGTGGCTGAGTGACTGATTACATCTATCTGAGGATTCATAGCTGACCTATTAATAGCAGAAAAGGACAAGCCGTTAATGGGTCCAAAGGTTGACAGAGGTGAAAGGCTTTTTTCTTAAAAGCATGTTGCGAAATGTGTTTTACACCAGAGTGCAGAGTCCTGAGAATGTTCTTCATATACAGGGTCTTATGGAGGATACTCTGATAACATGCATTATATCTAATGTTGTTAGCATAGTGATTCATGCTGTTAGTGAACAGGAACAAGTAAAGCAAGGCAGGGAATGACCCTCAGCAGAACAATTGACTGGTTTATGTAGGGGACAGCATAAAACCAATTTAAAATATGGATTTTGGTCATAAAGATGCATATTGCAATATGGCAGGTCAACGGCATGTCATGTCAGTTTCAAGAAAACAGTACATGCATCGATTTTTGTGATTGAACATTGTTTATCTCCCTGTGATCATGGTCATGATTCATGTTATTTTTTGCCAGTTCTGCGGCTCAAATATCCCCTTTATTCTACATCTTAACAGAAAAGCAGCAATGAAGTTTCAAAGTTTAAATGTGTCATACTATTGTGAGATATTGCATTTGTTCATGCACATCTGATTGCACTTCAGAATACACTTATCTCCCTCACAGGCCAGAGGGAGGCAGCATTGCCTTGCAAGTCAAACCATTTCTGACAAAGAAACTCATCCTACATTAAATAAAGAGACAAGTAGACAATAAGTAGAGGGATAAAAGTCACAAAGTCCTGTTTACCTGTATCATTAATTATTCCAGTTGGTAGTCACAGAATTTGGCCTTCAAAGATAGCGTTTACTATGTGTGTGTGTGTGTGTTATTTCTCACCCAGGGTTTATCAGTGTATACAGAGCCATCTCCATGCTTACAGTATTTATATCCCACCCTATCCGTCCTATCCCTCCCTCTGCACAGGAGAAAATGATCCTGGCAGACCATCTGCAAATACCATGCAGGGCACCGTAATGTTCCCAATATAACCTCATGTTGCAGCACAGCCAGCTGAGGGGTCCTGTCGGCGGCCACAGTGAGCTGTAAGGGAAGTGACAATCTCTAAGTCTCTGGATTGTGTTTTCTTTACGGGTTTCGATGCTCAGGATGATGAAAGGGAAAGATTCAGAGGAAGTAGAGATTGACTTGGAGGACTCCAGTGACCCTGAATCTGATAACGAGGAGGAACCTGAGATGCTGTGGAAAGCCCCTCCTGCTCACGAAGAAGAAGAAGACATTCATACCACCACACTGGTGGAAATCAGTGATACTAAGCCTCTGATTAATGTCAGAGACCCCCGTGATATAAATGACTGTCTCAAGGTATTTCATTCTTATGCAGTAGTTCTTTTCAACTTTGTTTTATAGACCTTTTATGTTTTTGTCACATGCAGTAAATTATCTGAGAAAGAAAGAAATACACTGAATGATTGCCATGTAGAACCAAGAGACTGCTTGGCTCATTGTCAAGTTGAGATAATGTATTCTTGAAGGTGTAGTCCAACAGGAACATGTCTTATAGTTCACCTCTTTAGTATCAGCACCACTGTCTCTTGTTGTTTCCAGGTGACGTTTGAGGATGTGATTGCTGAACCGGTGTCGTTGCGCAGTGGGGACAGAGTGTGGATCTGGAGTAATGCCCTGTTTGAGGTGTCCAGGGTTTGGATCTACAGGATAGTCACATTGATTCTGGCAATTCCCATTTCAATTATCTCTGGACTCCTCTTCGCCATCCTCAGCTGCTTCCACATCTGGTAGGGTCGGATCATGTCTACTTGAACATATTAAGGCAATAACAAATCAACTGTTTCTCACTTACTGCTAAGGATGCCAAGTCACACTGATAGTTTTGGGTTTGATTTGGCCAGGTGTTGACATATCTGTTTATTATACAGCTGTGATTGAATGTGATTGGTTTTGAACAGCAGGATTCAGTATTTTCAAGAACTAAAAGACTACTACACAGAAAAAGACCGTTGTTATATTTTTTTGTCTCTTAGTCCCCCAGCTTAAGTGCATTACAATGTAGGAGAGCATGTTTAATTGGTCTTCAGTAGGCTATCTATTTAAAAAGAGGAATCGGAACGAGGAAAATAAATCAAATAACATCTCATTCTATTATATTAGGAAATGTATTGAAAACGAAGTATGTTATCAGACATAATGTTCATGAATGCTGTACTGATGATAAAGATGAACTATAAATTGCTTGGAGAGAATGTTTAAAATCTTGATGAAACCCAAAGTGAAGAAATAATCAGCCTTTAAAATGTCCTTGTGCAGGTTTTGAAATATGTTCTTTCATTGTGACTGTTGTGTTTCTCTTTGACAGGATGGTCGGTCCTTGCAGCCACTGTCTCCGCATCGGTGCCCGCTGGCTGCAGAGCCTATGGAGCATTGTGCTGTCCGTTGTTGTGCGCCCCTTCCTCACGAGTGCTGGGCGATGCTGTGGAGGCTTCAGCATTCACCTGGCCAAGGAATGAGACTCACACATCCGGACTGGAATTGTTTTTTTATGTGAACTTGTTTTCCAGTGGACTGAGCCACAGTCCACAGGATGTTTGAATCTTTAATAGTCTATTCAAAATACAATTTTTTATAAACAGTACTTTCTTAAATAACTTACAGCGGTTGATTGGAAGACAACTTTAATGGTGAAAGTGACCGTTGTTGATAGTCATGCAGCTCTTTCTATGATACCATAGTGGACTATTGTCTCTGTATGACTTTTTGATTTTTGAGTGACTTCAGCATACATTTTTGTGCAAATTGATGAATGTGTCATCTTTTTTATTTTATATTGTTAAATGTGTTTATTTCTCTGTAGATAAAACACTTATTACAGTAACTGAGTTTTTATCTTGCAGTATGGCAACTCCTTATGGCAGTTATGAATCGCAACATGAGCCTGCTTTCCCCTTGAGAAAAATGTGTACAGTGTGTGTGTGTGTGTGTGTGTGTGTGTGTGTGTGTGTGTGTGTGTGTGTGTGTGTGTGTGTGTGTGTGTGTCGACAGTTTAAGGTTGTCAACGCTGGCAGCTGCCTGCTGGCATTCCTGGATTGAAAACATACTGAGTGGCGTTTCAGTTTATAAACCTCCACTCCTCTGCTATGCCCTCCTTGGCTCTGAATGCAGCCACACTATCATAATATCTTCTGAAAACAAATGCCAGTGACACACACACACACACACACAAACACTCTCAAACACAGACACACACTCTCACACACACACACACACACACACACACACACACACACACACACACACACACACACACACACACACACACACACACACACACACACACACACACACACTCTCNTGTTTGTTTGTGTGTCGACAGTTTAAGGTTGTCAACGCTGGCAGCTGCCTGCTGGCATTCCTGGATTGAAAACATACTGAGTGGCGTTTCAGTTTATAAACCTCCACTCCTCTGCTATGCCCTCCTTGGCTCTGAATGCAGCCACACACACACACACACACACACACACACACACACACACACACACACACACACACACACACACACACACACACATACTCTGGTGCTTCATTATCTCAGTTCCACCTTGAGTCAAAGAGCAGGGCTCTTTCTGAAATCAACAGGAACCTGGAGTGGATGATCAGGAACGACAGCTACACCTGGAAGAAGACCTCAAAAAACCCAAAAAAAAAAAGAGGGAATGGTTAAGGTTCAAACAATCTCTTTACTTTATTATCACTGAATTGCATTACAGAATTGTTTAATTTTGCGATTATTGAAGCTTGAAAATGTGTGTGTCCAATAAAGATGCTAAACAACCTTTCATACTGTTTTTCAAATCTTTTTTTATTGTCAAGTGAATTAAGTCAGCTTTATGTCCATATGTCAAGAAAGGGCCTCAGATATGTTATGTCTATCATTAGCTCATTGACAACATCATTTGACTTCCATGCCCAACAGATTGTAAAGTATAAAGTATTTTGCTAAACCTAAGGTCACCGTCACACATTACACATTTTGCTTGAAGAAAATAATAAGATCAATTGATATTCCCCTACAAAATAATGTTGTCGGTACAATATGAGTGTTTCATTGCACTCAAACACTTACAATGTCTCCCATATACCATGACAAACAGATGTAAGCATGTTTAGCCATGTGTTATACTCTTGTTATGGAGTTCCCCTGGCATATTTCACCTAAAGCTGCTCCCTGTGGATACTGCCCGGAACCACATGTTTTGTTTGACATCCTTCCAAGCTATATAAAGAGAATTACATTTTGAAACATACCTAATAAGTCAAGAATGCTTACTATCTGATCCAGATACTGACATGTTCCATATATTCAGCCTACAGTTGGTATGGCAAAAGAAACATAATTTGTTTGAAAATCTGTGCTGCCACAAGGGGGAACCATTATTCTAGTTTGATCTAAACTAGATTAAATATGCTGTGTGCTCAAAAGCTCAGGTACACTCATTACCCTAAAACGCTAACCACCTGAAAAACAAGAGATGGAGTTGATAAAAGAAACGTGCAGACAAGTGAATTTCATATTACATCATAAAGGACAAACACTGTTTGATCTGAAGCACAGGAGATTGCTGAAAACATTGAAAGCAGCCTCTACAGTATGTTGTGAAATACATTCCTTGTGTATTTTGCTTTGATGATGGGTCTTTTTTGTGTTGCTGCAATGAAGATATTTAAATTAAGCCATGCCTTGAGAGTAGGTATTATCTTAATTACCTTATTATCATTCATGCATATCAACATTCGGTGCAACAACCCATAACATATAATAATATCACTATAAAATTATTGTTCACAAAGAGATACTGCTTTGAAAGGCTTAACATTTTTATAATCTGCCCTAATTTCTTAAAATGCCGTTCAAATGGATTGGTTTGAAGCCTGTGAAACATCAAGATAATTGTTGTGATAATTCCTTGCTTGTCAAGGTCAATTCAGTACATCAACTACAAGAACCAGACATGAGGATTCAAGGAGAGAACAACAAACAACTGGGAGTAGAGGATTGTGCGCACAGGAGGTTTGTATTGTCTGTTTAACTCAATAAACAAAATGGTGTAATGGCCACTGAAGTGCAGCTGAGGATGATTACATTCTAGAAATGAGGGACTCGCAATGTTGCCAGATTGCTGGATTACAGGAAGCCTGGATGGCTTTCAGCTGGCCCCTCAGTGTCCCCCTGTGCTGGATGTGTGTGTGAGGCTCCTCTGGCTGCTGGTGTTCTTCATGGCGTAAGAGTTGCTCTTGTGCCGGCACTGTCCTTCACAGCTGCAGGAGGAGGCTGTCAGGTAATGTCCACAGCAGCAGAAGAAGCACTGCTTCAGGTCCTGGAACAGGTGGCCAGCAAAGAACATGTAGATCCAGGGGTTACAGCAGCTGTTGAGACTGGCCAACAACATGGCGATGATGAAGGCCACATCTAGGGAGAGAGACAGACAAGAACATGCTTGATATTTGTTGTGTCTTCTTACAGGTTCAAGGTAAAACTGTAGCTTATTATAAGACAACCCCAAGTAGCATCATATTAACTCACTACACCAAATCCATGACTGAAATGTGTCCCCCGACAAACACACAATTTCCTCCTGTCTGAGTAACACAGATTGTTATCCTCCCTGTGTGTTGTGTGGCACAGGAAGAGTAAGTCTAGCAGAACCAAGAGATTGAATATGGTGCTTTTGGTATTTTCATGGGTTTGTTGGCAAGGAAAAATATTTAAAATGTTGCCAGCATTATCCTTTAAACCCAGTGCATGCTGGGAAAGGATCCAACCCTGTGCTTCCCGTGAATAGGATAAGCTGTTCAAATAATGACCGGATGGGTGGGTCTTTAAAAAAGCCTCCAAAGTGGCACATTTTTCTCCATTCCAGTAAGATGTAATTACCTTGCTGTGGCCTTGAGTCCAAACTCCGTGATTGTGTGTGTGTGTGTGTGTGTGTGTGTGTGTGTGTGTGTGTGTGTGTGTGTGTGTGTGTGTGTGTGTGTGTGTGTGTGTGTGTGTGTGTGTTTTCAATATTTCAACTATTATTTGATGTCACCTTGCATTTTGTACATTGTATTTACATTTTGACAAAATGAAATATGTCGCACCTAAGGAGGAATTACAATAACTTTGCTCCCCTAACCTTTCCTCAAACACCATCATGGTCATTAACAAACCCTAGCATGTTAGCTCTCAATGTCATCTCTACTGAATTAGTATAAGCCCAGTTCAAGCCCATATTTTTTGCGCATCATTTGTAGAGAAATTAAATCACTGTCACGCCGGAGCATTTCAGACAACCTCCAAACATGTAGGAGCATAGCTAAAAGAAATAAGAAGGTTGATGGATGCCACACAAACAGGACTTCATGCTGCCTTACACAACATTGAAAAATGGCTTCAATTAAAGAGGCAGTTTCGGGTCGTAAAGTATTCCTTGTTTTTCTCAATCGATAAAACGTCAAATCTTTGTAGCCATATTAAAGGAGCATGCCAATTGCACAGTGGAATATGGAAGACTTCCAATTATTATTTTACTTCTGTAATGGAGTGAAGGGTGTGCGTTGTCTTCTTCTCCCCTAAAGTGAAATTGCTGACCTGCTCTGTTCACAGCTTTCTGACTCTCTAGTCTTTAGCTTTATTATGAGAGGTGTGCGGTGCAAACTGTCAACTAAATGGCCCGTCACAATTATGAGACCTGTTCAACAGATAAACACCCTGTCCAGAGTTTGTGTGGAGAGTGCAGTTCTCTTAAGGGGAACTACCACAAGATGACAGCTTTTTAACTCTTTTCTTTTTAACCTGTCATTATTCACTTTGACTTACAGCGCATTCATCACTTTTTCGTGCTGCCATGACTGAAGGAAAACATTCAAGATGTACAGATCTTCTGAGATTAAACTAGAACATTTGAAATGTTGTGATTCATAAAGAATGTGCAGATACTACGGATAATTCTGATGATAAAGTGCACAAAGTCAGCGTCCCCTTTATTTTCAGTGTAGCAAGTTTGTCTGCAGGTTCGATTGGACTCAAGTTAAGATGTTTGTCCTCCCACTTTGAACTCCCCTCAGAAAGGAAACTCAGCTACACGGAGCCTAAACGTGACGGCAAAGCTTCAAAGAGGATGCAATAAGTCAGAACAGACAAGCAGACAGCCAGTGACATTTGAATTAGCTCTACTTGGTTCTGATTGAAGTTCCTTTTTGAAAAATGTCACCCATAACAAAATCTTCTAACTACCAGTACACCTTTCATAAAACTACAAATCCTAAAATTACATTATGGATATTTCAAGTTGATAACATCCTCATACTTCCCTCTATTTGTGAATTGTTGCTTTTTGATTTAATGTTCTCATAATTTACTTATTTCCCATGAGGTTATTTACAATGAAATTCAGTAAAATCATAATAACTGTCTATAGTAAAGATAAACAAGATTCCAGTTGTAATCTCTAACTTATTTCCATAATGTGGTGTTTTGAATTTTTAAACTGACATATTTTGTATTATTAATGAGAATATTATTGTCTTAATAAACAAATGAAGAACCCAATAAAACAGTGTGTTATCATTACTAAAAACCTGAAAACTGAGCAGTTTTTTTTACATTTCCATAAGTTGACATTGTACAAGGTTTTCATGGGACAGCAAGAAGTTCTCAATTGTATAGTTCAGTATTTAATTTCAGCATAAATGTGAATACAAATAATTTCCACATGAATTAAATGTTAGGCCTGCTTTGCAAAATTACATGGTAACAAATGTTTACAATGCTAAATGGCATTAATAAATAGCCTAGTTGAGTGTGTCCATCCAAACAATATGGGGAAAAAATACTTCTGTAAAGTGCATGCATTCTAGCTTTAAATGTTTATTTTCTCTTTTTTTTTTACAAAATGTTTCTACTGAAGAAGACCAGGGAAGACACTTACGTCTGGTCTAAAATACTTTTAGGCAATTTGCTCACAGAACCACTTGAAAGGCTATGGAGCATATCCGCTCCCCTGCTCTGTCCTCTTTAATAACGAATGTAAAATATATGAGGGGTAAATCTGAAAAAACTATATGCAGTTAAGTTGACATTACATAACTCATCACTGGGAACATATGAGAAACCCTTTGATGTCCTGGAACATTTACTCTCCTGATTGCTCCGAAGACTTTCTGGAAACTGATAACCACTGCAATGACAGAGCCATTCATCTGTGTTCACTCCGGGGGGAGTCTAAAGTTAAACACCATTGTGTTGCCTTGGAATTTAAGTGGATTGCAATGTATTCCCACAGATATATTTTATGAGGTGGAATAATGACCCTTGAGGTACTTAGGCCTGGAATATACCTGTAGAAAATCACATAGCTTATGGGCAACAAATGTACCAAAGTGAATCTTAGACAACCTGGTTGATCTTAGACCAAGAGGGCCATTTATGATTCAAACTGCATCTGTTGGGCATTGGTAAAGAAAAAAAACACATTATTACCTTCTTGTGGTGCAGCAGGATCCCATGCAGACCACATCTGGACAAAGAAGAAGGGGGTCCAGCACACGATGTAGGCAAGGACCACTACAAATGTCATTTTCACTGTGCGGATCTTCGCTTTTGAAATAAGCCTCACACTGCTCACACGGCAGAGGGGATGAGCTCCTTTGGAGGGCCTTTGAGTTAGAGCCGGGAAATGATCCTTTCTGGTTTTTAAATTGAAATTCTGCCATATTTTAAAACATATCAGGCTATAGCATATGCTTAAAATTGCCACTGGGAAAATGTAAATACTGAGACTCATCCATGTGATGTATGCTTTGCCCCCCCATGGCTGTATAAAGTCTGCCCAGCAGTCATTCACACCGTCCCCGACATCCCTCAAGGAAAATATGTACGCTTGAGGAGTGCTGAATATCAGGCTGAGCATCCAAGAGGCGATCACACATGAGCGATCTTTTCTCCTGTGCACGGAGCGGAGTGGCTGGCAGATTGCTAAGCACCTGTCGATGGACATCAGGACAAGCATGTAGGTAGATGCAAACATACCCACAACCTGGAGGTATTTGACTAATCTGCAGAGCAAATCCGGGCCGTAGAAGCGAAATGTGATATCCCAAATAAGCTGCGGTAAGACCTGAAAGATAGCAACAACAAGGTCTGCGATACTGAGATGTTTCATGAAGTAATACATCCGAGACTGGCTGTGTTTCGTGGTGTGGATGGCCCACAGGACGCACAAGTTGCCGGTCAGAGCGAGCAACAGTTCCAATACCAGGACGGTAACTTCCACTTTGGCCACTTCTTCATTTCGTTTCAAAGCGTTCACTGTGGTGTTTCCTGAATGATTTTCATTTCCTAGACTTGAGTTGCTGCAGGAAAGATTTTGCATCCAATTATTCTGCTCGCGTAAAAGGTACTCCATCGTGCGCAAAAGCGCATGTTGGCGCAGCCCTCGATCACATCACAAAACAGATCCAGGGCCTCTATCTGCTGTCTGGTGGTGCAGTTGCACTACGCACTTTACAGCCAGCTCAACATTTTAAAGTTGATTTTAATTGCCTTCAGGTTGAATTACTGTATGATCCAAAAAGCACCACTCTAGCCTGAAGAGGAACAACATAAATCATCTTAATTAAAACTCTGAATCCTTCCAGATTTAACTAAAACTTTTGAACTATTACAATCAGTTAAAAAATAATATCACCTTAACATTGCCCAAGGGACTGTGTACAAACGAAGCTTACCTTTGAAGCGAGTTATTATGGTGTCTCGGAGCAGTGCACTCGCTGCCTCCAGATTGATATCTGATTTGTAAAGGCTCTGCATCCTACCTCTGTCCGTACCGTAGCCCCCTCCCTTCATAATACTTTCCTCGTCTAGAGCAAACTATCTGGGTCCAGTACAAGCACACAGCACGTACTACTTATTTATCTCTCTCTCTCTCTCTCTCTCTCTCTCTCTCTCTCTCTCTCTCTCTCTCTCTCTTTCTCTCTCTCTTACTCTCTCTCTTTCTCTCTCTTTCTCTCTCTCTCTCTCTACGTTAAGTTTTTTGTAAAGTCAAATGTCCCTTAAAAGTATTTAGTCGATGCTATCTTACATTGGACCTATAAGTCAATGATTTTAGCATCTACAATATTTGAATTAATCACTTATTGGATTCAAAGACAGGAACATTTCAGTCTAAACAGCCTCCCTCGTTTTCGAAAGAACACGACCAAATATGGAAAAGAACAATATCTGGAACAGCATCTTGGTGGAATATAATAACAGTTAAGTGCATGTTCACAGCACAGCGCAGATACTCTGTATGCACATTAACCTATGCTATCATTAGTTGGTCATTACAGGTAAAGTCTAAAGCATCAGTCACCATGGCAGTGAGTTATTAAATCAGGTTTCACATTAACACAGGCAACAAAAGGCTGATGTTTACTGTCAAAAACAGAACCAAACCAAACAGCTGTCAAAGATAAATAGCTCCCTAGAGCCATTGAATTCCTTAAATTCCTCCCTGAACAGTATAAAGGATTTCTACTGTAAATTGATGCTGTTCCAAATCTATTGTTCAGGCACGTGCAGTACAATGGAGCAAGATCTTTGTTTAAATGTCAGATATCTTGTTCCTGAATGAAACTCTGTATTTATTTCTTATTATTACGTTAAGCCAATTTAAACTAAATAATTGTTTTTTCATTCAATTTGTCTGTATTGAGGGCAGCAAGTCAGCTGTGCTTCTGAAACTGCCACGAGTTAAATAATGCATTTGACGCACTTGCAGGTGCTGTATTGTCAGTGCCTTGTCCAGCTGAATAACCCTCTTGATAGATGTCTTGTTGTTTCGATGGATACTATCTGATGATGGTGGCAGATAAATGCGTTGCTTCTGTTTCCAGGAATACCAGACCATGTGACATCCAGTAACAGTCTTTGTTTTTATGCAACAACATCAGAGTCCCAAATCCCTGATGTGAAGCATTCAAACGTTCATGTCTCACAATCAAGTTCTGCAAACTACAACCAAACGAAGTCGAAGGATTGTGCATTTTATTTTAAGCAGGTTTTGTTTTGCCTGAATAATAATTGATTTGGGATAAGAAACCATTGAAATCATTGAACAAAATAAACATGTGAAACATACATGAGCAAAAACAAGAATAATATACTTTACTGAATTTGCAGGCAGACACATCCTCTTTTCCAGTAAATGGGAAACTAGGATTATCATTTTTGACTTTTTCCGGGACAAATTCCAGATCGCCGCCATGAATTATCATCCTGGATCAATTTTGAACTTTTAGACCTGCCATATGCAAGTTTTGGTTAACAAAATAGTCATTTGGGGTCAATATATCATAACGAGTTGAGGATGTTTTATGTAAATCAAGGTAATTTGTTCATCAAGACAGGGTGTAATTTGATTGATTTGGCCTTATCAGAGAGCAACATCACATTTTGTTAAATGGATGCTCGGTCTTGATTTTTGTATGCTAAGCATGCAACATTAACCTCTTTTTAACTAAGTGCAGACACAAATAATATCTCTTATGCAAAATAACAAAAACTTGGTTTGAAAATGGTGTGTTCTTTTAGAACCTCCACATCAGAGTAAGGAAAATAACGTCTTCCCAGGACATTTAAACTGCAGATATCACATCATAACATAATGCATGGAAAACATGCATCGTAAAATATGGTAAAGACACTAAAAGCAAAATAGAGTGTCTTACAAAATCGAAATGCATAATTGACTTAACGTTCTGTCTAGAGGTGGGCAGGGAAAAGAATAATGAAAAAACATAGATTACAACTACAAAATCTGGGACAGGATGTGCAAGAATAGAAAGAATGGGGCATTCTTTATCCAATGGGTATGAGAGGATTGTTCTAGTGCAACAAAATTACACACCTCACTAACAAAGTGAGGACTCTACAAGTTTAGTTTACATTGAATTGGATGCCAGCGAAAGCCAAACCATACAGTAAGCATACCTTAAGTAACATTTAATACAACTTACATCAGTGCCAGGATAGATGACAGATATGTTACAGAGGTCCATGAAACTTCTTCTTTACATTGTAAAACCCTTTGGCCGCCAAGAAATATGTTTTTGGTTCCTCAAGAAAGTATATGTGCATGTTTTTATTCAACTATAATGAATTCAAAGGCCCCAAGCAGCCACTTAGTTTGTTTATGCCCCAGGCTCTGAGTGTATCTGCCAAAGGGCTGTGCAAAGGTTTTTCTCATTTATTCAGAAGCATCTGAAGAAGTCACCAATTTATCACGGGTAACTGCTTTAACATTATACAGTTTTAGCAGTAGGACACTTATGTCTATAATGAATAGTAGTAGTCTACTTGGCACCATGGCCCTATTGCTTTCCTGAAGAATGCAGACTGTTTTGCACACATTTGGATGGAACTATGCATCACAAGAAACATCATTTGAATCATTTATATTTTAAATGATCTTTTGATGTCATTTTAACGGAGGTGATCTCAAGTTTATGTAGAGTTTCATTATCTGCTAATCGTTTTTGAATGGAGATGCCCATTGCAAAGCATAGCATGTTTGGCACAGGAACATATGATGAAAGATGAAAACGAAAAGCAATGGTTTTGTTAAAAAAATCTTTATTGGATGGTTGTATGGCTGCAAGCAATCTAAAGTCATGTTTTCTTGATGCCAAATTGACCGTGCCACCTGTAAAACATAACATGGTGTGATTAGCGGAGTTAGGAGCGATATTTTCGTGATGTTAATAAACATCTATTAATTGATTAATAATGGGGATTTAATGCTTTGCTCAAAGGTTACAGTTACATGTAAAAACCCCATCACAACAGTGCTGCGGTCACTTCATACTTCAAGTGCTTTTATGAGTATCTTAGATCACTAATTTGATTACTGCAAAGACTAATTTGTTGTAAGAGTGACTGGGCAGGTGTAACAGTATTTTATGTAAACAGACCTGACTATAGCACCCCTGTTTTTGGTAGCACCTAAAGGTGAGGCATGACATGGCATTTTGTGCATTTGGTTGTCTTACCCTCATTGTGTTTTGCCCATTTATCTAATATTTTATCCTTAGTTTTTTATTCAGATATTTTGTACGTGTTTTACATTGTGTAAGTAACAGTTTTACTGTTTCACAAGGGTAAGGAAGCGGTGATGGCATCATGCTGCTCAAAGAAAGTCTCTTGTCCAAATGTCAGTGATTGTTAAGTTGAAGTCTGCTTAATGAATACAGGTCATTGGTGAAACTTGCCATTGCTAGTTTTTAAGTTACTTACTCCAGCTGTCTGGGAACTTGACAACAGAGTACAAGCTATTTCACTCCCCAGATCTGGAATGAACACTAAAAAAAGTGCCCATAGCTGGATGGGGTTTCAAGTACTGGTGGTAAAGTTTTTGGTGGGGTAAGTTAAGAGTGGATGTGTCTATTCATTACCTGTAAGGGGAAATGGCCTTCTCTTTCTGACAATGCTTTCTGTGCAGTTACTGACTGTACATCTATATGTAACTAGTTATCTTGTTTCATAAGCATTTACAACCATACAGCACATTTATCTTTTACTGTACAGCTTAGACAGTGTATATTTAGCATATGTTGCTAAGCATTAAGCTAGTTGTTTTCCCATAAACCCATTGTTACTTCACTACAACACTACCAATAGCAGTAGAGGCACATTGCATTAGCACGCCAGGACACATGCTCTATGACATAGAAAAGGAAAAAGGAAAAACAAAAATCTTTTTTCACACAGAGACCTTGACATGAAACAGATGAGTGTAACAAAAAAATGGCCCTTCAGCATGGAGACTGGCATGCAAGTAGACACAGGCTGGATCCTGACCACACATAAACTTTGCGTGACAAGTGCACTTGGCATCAGAACACTTCATCAGCATTTCAAAATCAAGTTGGCGTGTTGTGACAATCTTTTGACTTGGTGATGTAAATGTAGAGGCATCCGGCTGTGGGAATGCGATAACAAACCGGTGTGTTGGTTCAGCTGCCCCGTGGTTTCTGTGCACTCACACAGGTATAAACCAGCAGTCACTCTCTGTTCCTAACCTAAAGCATGTGTGTGCAGGGGGAAGAGTCAGAAATCACATGCACAACTAAATCATGTTAGCGTGACGAACAGAAGGTTTGTGAGAACACTGCAAACTAAAACAAACGTTGTCTCTAGAAGACAATCTTTTTCCAGTTAAATGTGCCTGTTGTGCTCATGACACATTATGTCATTGAAGTCGTTTTTTTTCTTTTTACAGATGGTAACACTTTCTCTTCGGTGCATGCTTTTTAAATGAAAAAAAAAAAAAGCCTTTAGATTATACATAATAGTCTGATTTCCAAAATAAAAGTGGTTAACAGTTCAATAACACTTTTTTGATGTTATTAAATCATATAACTAACGTCCACAGGTCACATTACCTACGAATACCTTACAATATTAATAATACTAATTTAAAGTGTTAAGGAAATAGTGTGACCAAATGTATTAACATTGCTAACTGTAAACTGTTTCTTTGATTAGGTCGTATCTTGGGAGTGACCTTTAAATGTGTAAAACAGATGTGTTTGGACAAGGGGGTTTTATGACAACCGCAGGAAGACAGGATGAGTGGAAGGATTTTACGATAAGGCGTTATCTGTATATCTCATTTGTTCTTTGTAGGGTGTGAATTTTTGCTTACAGTGCCATGAGGTATCAGCTGGCCTCACCAAATGTTGTTTGTAATGTAAATAAGCTTTGATGTCCTCCTATAAGGAGAGCCTGTTTCACTCAGAACACTGCGTGCTCTTTGGTGGAGACGTCATACCTGCAAGTATAAAAGATCTTTGATACCTTAAATACGAGTATTGTGTTGCTG